CTATTTGTTATAGCTTAAGTATTCACTTTGCTGTTTCTATAGAGAAATTTTAAAAGAGCCAATAAAGACCAGATTGATGCTTTAGGAAAGGTAATAAGCCAGCTAGTCAAAATGCATGCCAATAAAATACAAGCACAGCAGGAAGCCGTGGCCACAGTAGAGTGTTATATTTTCTTTCTGGATTAAACCACACTTTTTCATTGTGAGTTTTGTATAAGTTTTAACATAGATAATATTTCATTGCCTTAAGGGTACCAAGGATTTGTTTTACTTAGGTGTGGTAAAACATGCAGGCACAGAAATGACTGTCATGAAGGAAGAGATTTTTATTTACAGCTCTCTAGAAAAGGGAGGTACTACATACCACTCTGGGGGACAGGGTGGGGAAGCACCAGAGTTGGTCAGAAGGCAGAGGGAGGCTGGGCACAGTGGCTCATGCCTGTAATCTCAACACTTTGGGAGGCCAAGGCAGGTGGATTGCTTGAGGTCAGGAGTTCAAGACCAGCCTGACCAACATGGTGAAACCCTGTCTCTACTAAAAATAGAAAGATTAGCTGGGTGTGGTGGTGTGCGCCTGTAATCCCAGCTACTCGGGAGGCTGAGGCAGGAGAATTGCTTGAACCCGGGAGGTGGATGTTGCAGTGAGCTGAGATAGCGCCACTGCACTCCAGCCTGGGTGACAGAGCGATGCTCCATCTCAAAAAAAAAAAAGAAGGCAGAGGGAGAGAGGGGAAAACACGGGCAACAGCCTTGATTGTGGTTTTTGTGGGAGGGAAGGCAGAGGGGAGCATCTGAGGGTAATCTAGTTTAGGACTGACCAGTTTGAGTAATTTCAGGCTGCTCTGGGCCATAGAGGTTGTCTCTAGTTGTCTGGTACCTGGCCAGGATGAGGAGGGCAGGAGAAGAGTGGCCCTGAGTGTGAGCTCCATGAAGAAGGTAGCTGGGGTGTGGGCTCTGTGTTGGTTGGTTTGCATATGAAGGGCGAGTCATTGACTATCTAGGAATTAGCTAGCCCTGGGAGGGACAGTCTCTCCTCCAGAGTCAGCAAGGCCCCAAGATATCATAGTACCAAAAATACAAAATAAAGGGCCAGGCACGGTGGCTCACACCTGTACTCCCAGCACTTTGGGAAGCCGAGGCAGGAGGATCACCTGAGCTCAGGAGTTCAAGAGCAGCCTGGCCAACATGGTAAAACGTTGTCTCTACTGAAAATACAAAAATTAGCCAGGTGTGGTGGCGCATGCCTGTAGTCCCAGCTACTTGGGAGATTGAGGCAGGAGAATCGCTTGAATCTGGGAGCAGAGGTTGCAGTGAGCCAAGGTGGTACCACTGCACTCCAGCCTGAGCGACAGAATGAGACTCTGGCTCAAAACAAACAAACAAAAAAAACCCGAGAATAAAAAGACATGATGAGTACATGCTAATTGGTTAGTGACTCCTTGCTGACTTCCTCTGGCTGGCCTGAAAACCGTTACTTTTTATCCATGTGTGGAAACTATTCAGCAAACTGAACCTATCAGAAAAACAAAACTTACTCAATCTCTTATTTACAGATACATGGAAAAAAAATCTTACAAACCTTGGAAGAACTCTATACCTGGCTCCCAATTGGTACAATCATTGACAATGAAATCCTGGTCGTACATGGTGGGATATCAGAGACCACAGACTTGAATTTACTCCACCGTTTAGAGAGAAACAAAGTAAGAAGTAATGTTGGCACGAATCTTCTCTCAGGGACTTAGAAGGGAATATCCCTCTTTTCATTTATTATTTTGAATTGATTTGTGTTTTAGTGGTTATAACTCTAAAAAGACTAGAGTATAAATTTTATTAGAGTATATAAAAGTGTAAATTTTAGCCGGGCGCGGTGGCTCAAGCCTGTAATCCCAGCACTTTGGGAGGCCGAGGTGGGTGGATCACGAGGTCAAGAGATCGAGACCATCCTGGTCAACATGGTGAAACCCGTCTCTAC